TGACATCACCAGCACCATCCCGAAAAATTGGAGAGAAAAGAGAGGAACGAGGAATCCCTATCCCTTCGAACCAACCAGCTCGAAGTGAAACCTCGGTATTCAGCAGGCTGGGAGACCAAAGACGCTCTGCTAAGGACCGTCTCGGACGATCACACCATGTTGAGAAAGAAAGGGATGCACAAAACCACCGTGGACAACGCGACCATGGCGAAGAGGAGCGCAGACAAGTCCCCAAAGTCGCCCATATGACTACCAATCACCGTTCACTCGGACACATGACTGAGCATATCGGGGGGACTGAAATACGCTCACAAAAACCGAGGAACACAGAGGTAGAGGACGGTGGCAGGAAACGTGTGACGATTCACACGGACAGAATCGGGAACGATTCGAATGAGGTGGAGGTGAGGAAGCTATGGAGAAAAATTGAGGACCTGCAGCGACAAGTAGATGCAGGAGATGGACACACGGATGCTAAACTGAAGATGGTGACCCCATTTACCACACGGATCATGGCGTACCCGTTACCAGTTGGCTTCAAGGCGCCCCATGTCAAGGCCTATTCGGGAACCTAATATCCCCAGGAACATCTATCACGTTATTACGCTAATATGATTATGATTGGGGCATCGGAGGAAATAATTTGTCGATGTTTCCTAGCTACGTTGGAAGGAACTGTGTGTGAGTGGTTCAATTCTCTCCCCCATGGCTCGATCGATGAGTGGGAGGATTTAGCGCAAAGGTTTCTTGAACATTTTGCTGCTAGCAAAAGAACCAAGCAACATTACTCGCACCTCCTGACCGTGAAGCAAAAGAAGAGCGAGGACTTGAAAGATTTTGTGATACGATGGAGGAAGGAGTCTGCTGCCGTGCATGGGGCGGACGACCAAACACGCCTGGCCATGTTCCAGGCAGCGTTACGGGCTGGGGACTTCGCCTCAAGTCTCATCCGGGACCCACCAAGGTCGTACCAGGCGGCCCTTCAACGAGCCGATCGATACGCCGATGCGGAGATCCGAGAGGTGCAAAAGAAAAAGGATGAGTCATCGGAACCTTGGAGGGAGGGGTCTACCCCTCACCACAAAAAACAAAAGAAAAACAAAAAAGATTTCAACTACGGTCCAAGGCAGATTTCAAATGTGAGCCCAGTGTCCCTAACCCATCCGGTGGGCACGATCATGGACTATGCCGAGCGTACAGATCTCATGCAAGGACCAAGGCCAGAGGGTGAAGTGTACGCTGTCTCTGGTGCTAAAAAGTATTGTCGTTATCATCGGGTTGATAATCATGACACGGAGGTGTGTTGATATCAACAAGGCATGCCCGATGGATCCATTCCCATTGCCTAACATCGACCAGTTGGTGGACGAAACAACGGGGTGTGAGCTGATGAGTTTTATGGATGCCTTCAGTGGATACCACCAGATTCGCATGCATGAGGAGCATGCAGAAAAGACCTCGTTCATGACTCCAGAGGGCATTTTTTGTTACTTGGTCATGGCGTTTGGACTAAAAAACTCTGGGGCAACGTACACCCGCATGATCTCTAAGCTCTTCAGACCTGTCCTAGGTCGCACCATGGAAGCCTACGTGGATGATATGATTGTGAAGAGTAAAAAATCGAGCACGCATGCTATGGATTTGGCAGAGGTATTCAAAATCATGGAGAAATTTAATCTACGCCTCAAACCGAAGAAATGCACTTTTGCGGTGCAAGGCGGGAAGTTTCTAGGATACTTGGTGAGTCGGAGAGGAATTGAGCCAAATCCAGAGAAGGTTAAAGCCATTCTGGACATGGAGCCTCCCCGTAATGTTAAGGAGGTCCAGCGATTAACAGGGCGCTTAGCAGCACTAAACCGCTTCTTATTGAAACTAGCTGAGAAGGCCACATCGTTCTTCCACATCATGAAGAAGTCAAAAGGTTTCATGTGGACTAAGGAGTGTCAAACTTCGTTCGAAGGATTGAAGCAATATCTCTTATCTCCTCCGGTGTTATCTAAACCAGAGACGGGGGAGACCCTTTATCTGTATCTGGGGGTCTCCCCGAGTGCAATAAGCTCTGTCTTGGTGCGTGAGGAGGGTGGTGCTCAGAGACTTGTTTACTATGTCAGCAAAACCTTGAGGGATGCTGAGCTACGGTATACTGCCATAGAGAAAATTGTCTTGTCGGTGGTGTGGACAGTCAAACGACTGACACAGTACTTCCAAGCTCACCCCGTCCATATTTTGTCACACCAACCTCTAGGTGCGGTGATGAGGAGTCCCACAGCATCATCAAGGATGGTCAAATGGGCAGTATACCTTAGTCAATTCCACATAGAAGTGAAGGCTCGCCCTTCGGTCAAAGGGCAAGCTCTTGCGGATTTCATTGTGGAATGCACATCACGTGAAGAAGCGACGAAGACGAGGCATGAAGACCATGATTCCGAGTGGTGGATACTGTCAACTGACGGCTCATCCACGGCCAAATCTTGTGGCGGAGGAGTGGTCCTCACCACGCCCGAAGGCTTTAGGGCCTACTACGCCATCCGGTTCAATTTTAAAGTATCTAATAATGAAGCGGAGTATGAAGCTCTGTTATGTGGTTTGCGTCTAGCGGCGAACATGCGGGCGGAGAAGGTCAAGATCCGATGTGATTCAAAGCTAGTTGTGGGACAAATCACAAGCGAATTTGAGGCAAAGGAGGAACACATGAGGCAATACCGTGATGCTGCATTGGAACTCTTAAAATTGTTCATAGCTTATGAGATTGAACAAATTCCGAGGGGACAGAACGTTGAGGCCGACATGCTGTCCAAACTCAGCGCAGAGACCCCTGAGAGGATCTCAAAGATTGCAAGAGTGGAAGAACTAGACACTTCTAGCATATATGCGTGCCCGGTGCACACCATAATTGCTAGAAACGAGGACTGGATAGACTACCTCGTCAAATATATTCGTGAGGGAGTGCTGCCCGCGGAGGAGGTTGAAGCCAAGGTGATTAAGATGAGGGCGCCAAGCTATACGATTTTGAATGACGTGCTATATAAAAGGTCTTACAATGGCACACTCCTCAAGTGTCTACGACCTAATGAGGCCATGGCTGCCATGGAAGAGATACACGCTGGGACATGCTCAGCGCACCAAGGAGCGCACACCATGTCACGAAAGGTAATTCTACAAGGATTCTTCTGGCCGACCATTGTAAAAGATTGTGTGGACTTTGTTAAAAGGTGTGTCGTGTGCCAAGAGTTTCAGAAATCTCCGGGACGCCCAACAACGTATTACACCCCCATCAGCACAGCCATACCATTCACTAGATGGGGAATCGATCTTATCGGGGCCTTACCGAGGGGGACCGGGAGCGTGAGATAGGTTATTGTGGCCATAGACTACTTTACCAAATGGATCGAGGCGATACCTTTGGCGAGCATCACCGAAGGACAATGCAGAAAATTTGTCATGAAACACATCCTCTGTCGTTTCGGAGTGCCCCAACAAATCATAACCGATAATGGGAAGCAATTCGAAGCATCTGGGTTTAATGACTTTTGTGAGAGTTGGGGAATCAAACACAGCAGTGCATCGGTTGCTTACCCTCAGGCGAATGGGCAGGTGGAAAATGTAAACCGCACAATTATGGATGGTTTGAAGAAAAAGCTCGTAGCAGCCGGAGGTGAGTGGGCTGAGGAACTACCACAAATACTCTAGGCATACAGGACCACGCCGAGGAAGGCGACTGGCGAAACACCATTTGCTCTTACCTACGGTTTTGAGGCGAGGGCGCCAGCCGAGGTAATGCTCCGTAGCCATCGAGAGGAACAGTATGATCCGGAAATAAACGAGGAAATCATGACGACCGAACTTCATTTCATTGAAGAAAGAAGAGAAGCGGCTTTTTGCCGCGCAGAGAACTATCGAAGGCAAGTCAAGGCATACCACGACTCTCGGGTGCGCAAGCGAAACTTTGACGTCGGAGACTATGTCTTAAGGAGAAGAGAAGTGAGTAAACCCTTGGAAGGTGGAAAATTTTCAAAGAATTATGAAGGTCCTTACATCATAAAATCGGCGATCCGTCCGGGGACCTTCAAACTTCAGACACCTAAAGAGAAGGAGATCGAGAGGACTTGGAATGCTGAACACCTACTCATTTCATTTCATTGAAGAAAGAAGAGAAGCGGCTTTTTGCCGCGCAGAGAACTATCGAAGGCAAGTCAAGGCATACCACGACTCTCGGGTGCGCAAGCGAAACTTTGACGTCGGAGACTATGTCTTAAGGAGAAGAGAAGTGAGTAAACCCTTGGAAGGTGGAAAATTTTCAAAGAATTATGAAGGTCCTTACATCATAAAATCGGCGATCCGTCCGGGGACCTTCAAACTTCAGACACCTAAAGAGAAGGAGATCGAGAGGACTTGGAATGCTGAACACCTACTCAAGTTCTACCAGTAATATGTTCCTTTTGGTGTTGTATCTCACCACTATAATGTAAGTTCAACATCTACTCATCAATAAAGTATTATGTTGTACACGGTCCGTTACCGTCACCATTACTATGAGAACGTCTCGCACCAAAAAAAAGGGAAAATGACCCTCCGCGGTCACTATTATGGGCATATTCCTTACAATGCCTAACCCTGGGGTGCATGGTCAGGATGCGCATATGGGAATCCCTAAGCGTGACCATGTTTCCTGAAAGACGTCGTGTGCCCTGTGCAAACCTGGTCATCAGGTTCGCTCACTCAACATGGCTCTGAGGTCATTACTGAGTGATGCGCACAACGTAGCAAAGGAGGAGAAGTCCCCGACAACTTGTGCCTTTTGTTGTCCATGGTAACCCCCTGGTAATGTACGGTACCACCAGACTGAACCAAAGTTCTTATATCCGACATTGGGAGAAGTTTGGGGAGGGGGAGACACCGAGCTCCATGCTCAGTGCTGTACCATCATACATTTCATCAAGGAAGATGACCGCGCACACCCCGTTTAGGCAGTGCACGGTGTGCAACGTGATCACCCGTATGGGGAACAATATTTTTTTAAAAAAAACCGATATTAAAGGGAAATATTACATTGTCAAGATAATTGTTTGCTTGAGATTCAAAAAACGGTCTAACAAATTAGGTGCTAAAGAAAAAGAAAAACATGCAGACCATGTTATGGTAGTCTAACTCTAACACTCTCCAAGGCATGGAGATGGTCAAAGAAAGGATCACTCAAGCTAAAAACCCCAGCATTGCTACTTCTTCGGAAGTTATGGAGTCACCAGAGGGAACGACTCTAGAAGAAGGGTCAACATTCTCAGGCTCTGGGTTAGGAATCTCAAAAGGAAGCCCCCAATCGGCAATGCATGAGGCGCCATGCTGAGCCCTCAAAACAACATAAATTTCCTGTTGTTTGGTATATTCCCCCAAATTATAGCACAGTAAACCGTCTTTGTCAAGTCTGTCGATGCCGGCGGGAGTTTTTAACCAACGTTCAGCAATCTCTTTTAGGTGGGAATCAATATAGTCTTCCCGCTCAGCGCGGACCTTGATTAACTCGGCAGCGTGAGCATCCCTCTCATGCGCCTCCCTGGCCTTGTGAGCTTCAATCACTCTCTTATGTGCAGCCCGCTCTTCAGAGAGCAACTTTAATAGCTCTTGCTCGCGCAAAACATGCTGACGATTCTTCCCGGAGATCTTCAACACAAGCTACAAAAAATATTATATAATATATATTATTAGTCAGACATATCTTTATGCAAAATGAGCACCTACACATCTACCAAAAATATTTACTAATCATATTTGAGCGTGGTCATCTGACACACAAATGTCATGATATACCCGCTGACCATGCACACATCACACATACTTATGAATGTTATACATGCAATGTTATGAAGGAAAGTGAGTGGTTACCTCTGCAGAGACATGAAGACAATCATCCTCCAGCGGTCCATCAGCCACACTCTTCACACCTTCCCTGAGCATGACATCACGAGCACCACTAGTGCTCCAGGTGATGCACCGTATCTCTTGGGTAACCGAGTCATCGGTTATGAGCATAGAAGGGGACGAGACACCTTCACCTTGCGAGGAAGGTAGTATGGCCTTGTGCTTCTTGCTCGGCGGGTCTTGAGCAGACGCATGTGACCCTTACCGCAGCCATCTTCTTGAACCTCTCCGCACGGGACGTCATACCTGTAAGAATAAGTAAAAAATATACACATATATTAATTTGTTAGTGAGGGGAGGGATCTTGTTCCAAAAAGAGCACGGTGAGCGTAGACAACCTGGGCCTAAAGAAAGGGGGACGAGGATGTCCAATGATGAGCACAAGCCCGAGGTGAGGAAACCAAGTCTGCTCAAATGGTCCTCGGTAGTGTATGTGGAAATGCTAAACGGTCCGCCCGCTAAGAACTTTTCTGACCACAACTCCTCATCGGCAGAAAGAATGGGACGTGCAAACTTTCTATAGTTAGGGTTGAACCATGTGGGGAAAGAGAGAGCATGCCCGGTAGACACAAAGATGAATTCTTCCTTCCAATTCTTAATTTTTCCGTGCGAGACTTTCCATGCGTCAAGATGGGCACGTTGGGAAACAGATACCCATGACAGATTATTAGCTCGGGAGCATTGACCGATCCTGAACAGGTGCTTAAAGAGATCTAGAGACGGCTTAGCCTTGATCTCCTTACACCGGGCCAAAAATGCCACCAGGTACTGGTGACCAAATGGGGTGAGCTGACACGGAGGAATCTCAAGCGCACCTAGGAACTCGATGATGAAAGGATGCATGGGGAGCCTAAATCCTAGTCTCATGGAGAGGGTATGTATCCCGAAAAAATCACCCTCAGGGGGCTCAGTGACTACGTCATCTTGGTTCGGGCGGAGCATGGTAACGTCGGGCCGGAAAAGATTCCGACATCTCTCAAACTCAGAAATCGAGAGTCGTGATTTACACGATTCAATTTGAGTCGCATCCAAAGGGGTGTATAGCCCACGAGGGCGACGTTTTTTCGGTCTCACCAAGTCAACTATTGAAGGCTCTGGATTAACTACCTCAGTGTCAGAAATATCATCTATCCAAGGTACATTTTCTAAAGTCGTTCCATTAACCGGTTCCGGGAGATCTCTTAAGTCTATGGAGTCCAGTACATCCATAAGATACGGAAAGCTAAAATACAAATAAATAGAAATTAGCAAAACATAAAATAAAATACTTCCTCCGCTCTTAAATAAATGCAACGATCAATATTTCACACTTGCGGAGACACAACTGTGACCATTAATATATATAAATTGATATTAGTAAAAAAAAGTTAAAAATACTTAGAAATAAAAATATTATTAGATATTCAAAATTTACAATGAGACAAATTTAACAATATTTTTTCATAAAAACATATTCATACATTAATAAATAAAATGTAGTCAAAGTAGACCATGTGAATAGTGTAAAATTTCACATGATGCATTTATTTAAGAATGAAGGTAGTACATTTCAGCAGCTAATTACTGAAGAAAAAGGAATCAGCAGCTAATTAAAAAAATGAAAAATCATTGATTAATTACAAAAAAAAATCAAAAACTAGTTATATACAAATAAAGGGGAAATCATCTTCTAAAAGGGCGATTCAATAGTGATGGCTAATTAGGTACTACGTACTAACATTTCAAAAAAAAATTAATATTTCGTAAGAGAAGCAAAAGTAAAATGACCAAGTCAAAATCAAGAATATAAGTAAAATCTAAAAAAAGAAGTCAACATTAAAAAAGAGAAGGGATAAGGTGGAGAGAAGAACGTACCTATGGGGAACGAGCGGCAAAGAATGATTGGTAGCAGCGGCGTTGGCAACCTGCGGCGATGACCTCGCTGGCCGCTGGGGGAGTACCGACGAGAGGTTGAAGGAGAGTAGCAGCAGACCCGGAGGTCTACCTGGCCGGTAAGTACGCTGCCCAAATCTCCAGGTCGTGGAATAATTAGGACATCCAACTGTGGCTAAGGGACGAAGCTCGAAACCCAGGCGACAGTCCCAGACGCCTAAGCAATTGCAGCACCAGTAACCTTTCAATAGCAAGGCACCTGGAATGACTAACAGAGATAGGAAAGCGAGGCCATGAACCAGTGAACCTAGGTGACAACAAACAACGGACGACCTTGCGGGAAGCCCCTCGTACGGGCGATGATGGACAGCAGAGCTCGGAGACCTGGTAGCGCGGATGCTGAAGATGGCTGGTAGGAAATCGGCCACACTTGGTGGCGGACAGCGTGCAAGCGACGGGCTGGGCGGCAAAGGGTCCGTATCAGGGTGCCGACATTGAGCTTTCCCGGCACGGTTGGTAAATAGTTTCTCCTGGGCGGCTGGAATAAATCTTGCTTGGTATATTGGTCCTTCAAAATTGAAAAACGATTTGAGTCAACTATCAATTACATGTCTCTGTAAATTTATGATTGGATAAAAATGATGGAGTAATAATATCATGACATGGTAAGCATTGGCGAAATGATTCTGGGATGAGGAGTTGGAGTAACGTACGTGCTCACCATGTATGAATTAAGGGTTATTCGTTCTCTACTTTGAAGTACAGGCTCAGCATGCCTTGAGATAACATGGTCATCCTATAAGGTGTAATTATTGGTGTGACACATTATGAGTGACATGCTCACTATGAGATTATTTTTCGGGTAACACGGTCAGCATGAAAAAATGAAGACCGTTGGTGTACTACCTGAGTAGCATGCTCAGCATGGACAGTCACTTATTATTTGGTATAACACCTTATGGTTGACATGTTCAGCATACCTCTGGAGTGACATGGTCAGCGTGCACGGTTTATTTATTACTCGGTATAACACCTTATGAGAGACATGCTTGACGGGTCTCAGGGACGATGTGCTCAACGGGCCTTGGGGATGACATGGTCAGCGTACCCGGTTTATTTATTACTTGATTTAACACATTATGAGTGACAGGCTCAGCGGGCCGTGTGGGTGCCATGGCCAGCATGTATTACTTATTTATTATTTGGTGTAAAACATTATGAGTGACATGCTCAGCACGCCTTGGGGGTGCCTTGATCAACATGTGCAACTTATTTATTTCTTGGTGTAACACCCTAGGGGTGACATGCTCACCACAGACAGAAGTGAGGATCATTGGCATACTACTCTAAGCGACGCACTCGGCATGAACGTGTTTAACGCAGATGAGATGGTGGTCTTATGTGGCATAATATGATTTTATTTGAGTAGTTGATGTATACTTCCTCTCATCGATTTATTACTCGGCTCGGGAAGTGGGGGGCTTGTGATGACATAAATGCCAGCCCAATATGGTAAGCCCGATTGAATGCGGACTGAGCCCGTAAATGAGATGGACGAGACGAACAGGAACATCAGGCCCAAGGAAATACATGGTCAGCATACTCGGGATGAGAAACATGGAGTTACATTTACAAAGATATATGGCGCGCTGGGCATGACGTGATCTTATCTTTACAATGAGGCTTAGACGTGACATGCTGAACACGACACACTCTTACCTCTACCATGGGATTTGAATATGGCCTGCTGAGCATCACATGGTGAGCCTCAACGCACGTGCTGCACAAGCGCTCAAGACCATCGCACATGCATGATGCTACTTCCCAGAATCTACGTGACCAACAACAAATCTTGAAGATCACGGGTCAACTCGCAATCAGTCCTACAAATCAGAAGATGGTGACACGTCAGTTCAGGCATGGCGACCACGTCGCCCGAATATTTCTTGTCTCAATTTTGTATTATAAATTCATGTAACTCTTGGAAGAACAATCAGGCTGAATACATTGAATACACTACTTACAATTATCTCTCTAAGTATTATTCTGAGTGCTTTAATTATTTTCGGCTATCTACTAATTATTTTCCGGTGGATTTACTTCCATCAGGGTGTATGGGTTGTCTCTACCCATCCCCTCACTCCATAGCTCAGCTCTATCCCATTTTTGGTGTCCTTCCAGATCTCATCTAGTCAACTAGAGCACATAAAAACGTGGGGTGGCCCCCAATTATGTGGGAGGTCATCCCATTATGTTCCGGTGTGTGTAATCGGCCCCAAAAGTTGTATTTCTCGGACTGTTTAAGTTATATTTTATTTTATCGGGCCAAATAAAATATATCACGCATTCCTAATAATTATGGACCTTTAGCATAGATGTGCATTCCTAATATTAATTTAGGAGTCTCCGAAATTCATTTCGGGCTGTTATCCGCTAAATTACCAATACCGGTAATTTGGGCCTCGTTTGACCCACCGGTCAACTCCATGCCCTTCCCATGGCCCAAATAAAATATCCAACACCATATAGATGTCATCTAGACCAAGATGAATATAATATGTGGTTCTGGAATTATCGGGCAGTCCCCGTTCCCGCTGTGGGCCCCACATGCAATTTACTATTCACGTAAAAGAAATAATAAAAATTAACAATTACGCAAATTCATAAATCATCCTTCAAGGTTTATTACATAATTTACTAAAAGTAAACACGCTTGGGGACGGTGTCACAGTTTAAGCCATCCATTAAGGGCTTTAAGCATTGTCGTCCCTTACTGAACATTGATGGAATGCACTTATATGAGAAGTATAAAGGTACGTTGTTGGTGGCAATGGATAGTGATGTTAATAATAAATTGTCCCCTTTGACGTTTGCTATTTGTGGAACAGAGAATAGAAAGAGTTGGCCGTGGTTTATGGCGTGCATACATCATTTTATCACATGCAGAGAATTGTGTGTTATTTCATATCGGTATGCTGGATTTGTGAGGGCACTTAATGAGGTAGGTAGTGGATGGGAGGAGCCAGATGCACGACATAGGCTTTGCATACGGCATGTCGCTTTAAATTACATACTCAATTTAAAGACATTCACTTGAAGAGTTTGTTTGTTTGGACAGCAAGTGAACATCAAAAGAAAAAATTTGATGGTGGATTTAATAGGATAGGCGAAATGCAAGCACAAGCACGAGGATATCTAGTGAACATTGTTTTGAAGAAGTGGTCTTTACACCACGACGGGGGTACAGGTATGGCACCACAACAACGAACGTGGATGAAGTTTTCAATAGCGTCATCAAAAGTGCACAATACCTGCCTATAACCACCTTAGTTGACTTATCATTCTATCATGTGAATGCCTATTTTGGGGAAAGAAGAGAAACTAGTAAGAGAATGTTAGCAGAAGGGCATCGCTACTGCCAGCAAGTGACTGAGCTGATTGAGAAAAATACGGAAAAGGAAAAGTATCACAAGGTCACAACATTTGACATAGACTGTGGTTTATACCAAGTGGAGACGGTTCATGGTGGTCGAAATGTGGGTAAGGGTGGTATAAAACAAACGGTGAATTTGCACCGTCGCTATTGCACATGTCAGAAGCTGAATATTTATAAAATTACTTGCTCACATATCTTAGCGGTATGCAGAGAACGTAGTTTGTCCTATGATGCTTTTGTTGATATATTTTTCTTAACATCGGAGTATGTGGCTTCTTATAAAAGAGTATTTAAGCCCATACCGGATATAGCTTATCGTCCTACTTACACTGGACTACGAGTTGTGCATGACCCGTCAATGATTTGCGCCAAAGGTCGTCCAAAGGCTACACGATTGAGAAATGAAATGGATGAAGGTCCTAGGGGTACTGTGAGATGCGGTTTATGCAAGCAAACAGGGCATAACAGGACGACATGTGCTAGAAGATCGCAGGGACACGCAGGGAGTTCCATTGGGTAATGTTGTTCTTTTATTCACAAATGCATTAACGATATTAAAAAATGAATAGATTTAATTTTAATAAGAAAATAAAATAACTAATACATATATTAGAAATTAGTTCAAATAGGACTAAAACTATGGCAAAAACCTAAAATAGGACTTGTTATGTTTTTATTCCAAAATAGGACCATATAAGTCCTATTGGAAACATACCTATTTTTCATTCCATTCTTACCCTTCCATTAAATATGAATTAAAAATAGTCAAAAGCCATAATTAAATGTTTAATTCATAATAAATTCGAAAAAAATTCAAAAATTCGTAGAAATATAATTAAAAAATTTATAAAATTTTTATAAAATGAAAATTTCAAAATTTTTTTTTAAAAATAATTTTATTTTTAGAAAAATTAATAAAAAATACTAAAACTCCGTAAAAAAAATTTAAAAAAATATGGATGCCTTTCCCACCGCCTGTACTACCTCCCAGCACCACCACCTCCGGCCGATGAAAAAAATGCTATTTTCCCAGAAAAATGCCATTTTTTTCTGAAAATGCCAAAAAAGTGGCATATTTCTCTTTTTGAATGCCAACATTTTCATTTTTTCTGCCATAAATATGGCATTCGTAATGAACTTGGCATTTTTTCTCCGGTGACTGGAGGTGGTGGTGCTGAGGCGGCAGAGGCGGCGGCGATTTTTTTTTAATTTTTATTTTTATTTTTTAATATTTTTTTTAATTTTTTTAATTTTTTGAAAAAAAAAATAATTATATTTTTAATATCGAAATGTTTTTCTTAATTTTTTAGTATTTTTTACGAATTTTTATTATTTTTTATTGTTTTATTAGGAATTAAAACATTTTAATAGCTATAAGGGTATAATTGTTCAAGGTACACATAATTAGTCCTATGCAAACATAGTTTATTTTTTGATCCTATTTGTGAAAAGTGAATGACTTTTAGTCCTATTTTGATAATTAACTCTACATATATTACTATTATTACAGTGCCGATGCAGGTGTCAATGGATCCCATACCGATTTTGTCACGCCCCGGACCTAGCCGGACACATCAACAACCCGTTGTACAATACGAATAGTTAACCACAACCAACACATACATATTATACAAGGCGTCTCGAATATCATTCACACATAAGTCATTCATAAACAAACATAATAAGCAATTTAATAAGCAGCAGAAACATAGTTTGAATACCAATGCCACACGTGGCAAACATGAGCACGCAGGCTCTATAGTAAAATATCCATGAGCATGTTTATTAATGTTCAAAAATCAGAATGAAGGAAGCACGGACCAAGTCTTCTCTCCAAGATGATCACTCGAGCAATGAGCACAGGAAGCAAGCTCTACCCTCAACCTGAAATGGTGGTGGGACGCCCCCAAAGGGGTCAGTACTCTATAGGGCTATAAAGTACTGGTGTGGATAGCATCTAATAGATATACAACAAGTATTTCAAACACAAGACCCTCAAATAGGGTGATAATATAATTTAGGTCGTAACTCCAAGTTACCCCTTTTCAAAAATATACTTACTTTATATAAAGTCAAGCAGTCGACCCGTAGGCCCAAGTTTTGTTTACAAAACATCAAACCAATACCCTGTGACTACTGATCATGACAATTTATAGGTCCAACCCTAACACATATGTTTTCATTTCAAGAGTCCGACTCAAGTACATCACCATGCAAATCATATGACACAAGTCAATTACTTCACCGTGCATTTCTAGAGTTCTACTCAAGTACATCACTATGCACATCATAGGTTACAACCTTCAATCTCACCATGCATTTCTAGAGTCCAACTCAAGTAAATCACCATGCATGCCATCAATCACAACCTCTTGTCTACCCATGCACTTCTAGAGTTCTACTCAAGTACATCACCGTGCCATGGCATAGACCTAATTCCTAAGCAACCTATGCCTAGAATTGACATATCAATAATCTACCTTAGGACATCCTTAAGTACTACCCATAACATGATCTTAGATTCATACTAAATCAATTTAGTCACTTGAATCACATTCAAGTGCATCACTTACAATCAAATCTTTAGAATCAATTCTTTAACAATTACAAATAATCATTAACTAGTTTCAATACTATTAAGATTATTCCTATCAAAACAAATATTCCATTTGTAAATCCCTACATATTTAGAGATATGTAGCAGCAACTTAAGAATCCAATGTAATACATAAATATTCATTTATGTATCTACACAATTCACACATGAGCAAAAATGCCTATTTTTCATAATAGTTCATTAATAGCCCATGTAATCCCATTTATCAATATGACATTCAAATCATTTCCAATTTCATTCCTTATCAAATATGTCAATATTTCATCAATGATTAAGCATTATAATCCCTGAAAACATAATTTAGACATTTAGGTAACCTCATGTTTAACCTACAAGTTGTAAGCAACTACATGTCGATCCTCACTTTAATTGAGCTTTAAACTTTTGCTTCTTGATCCAATGACCAAAGCTTCGACCAAGGAAGATTTAGAGTTGCTTACTTGCTTAGAAATGAGTGCTAAACAGCCCCCTCAAAGTGCTACTTCAACCCCTAACCGTTAATACGAAAATAGCCCCTAGAATGGGTGTTTTCCGGCGAACTCGGTTCCTAGTTTTTTTCCAAAGTTTGCTCTAGATTAGTATCTAACCTTTACATCAACAACATAACCTTATAAGAATATTATAAATTTAGAATATTGTATAATAGTTCCACCAATCGTTCATATCATATGGGAAATGAAAAGAAAGGATTTTGGGATTAAAACTCACTTTAGAGAAGTAAATCCGTCTCTGCGCGTTTGTGTTTTGTTCGGACGTTTTGAAAGCCTTCCACTACTCCGTTGGATTAAAACCAGACCTTTATGGATTATTTATCTTGATAGATTTCTTTTGGAACCTCACGCGCCTTATTTGGATGAGTATGGCTCAATATACGAATCAAACAACACCAACACTCCCACTGCTCCAGTTTATACGCAGCAGTTCACTCAACCTCGATTATTGTATGTAATACTCTCTCTTCTTGCTCAGAAACTACTCAATAATGAAACTAC